AGACCTATGAGAGCAATGAATATTGGTTAATTTTTATTATTAATGATTATAGATTTCAAACCAAAGCTTGATGTAAAGGTCAAAAAATAAAAAAAACATTATCTGTGTGAAAATGAACAATCATACATGTTATAATTATGAGTATTATGGGGTCTTATAGGAAGTCTTATAGTTAGAATATCCTAGTGAAGGGTGCAACTTGTATCTTTTTAATTGTGATTAGTTTGATCCAGTATCAAACAAAGGAATTACATAAGTAAAATGATATAGAAGATATAAAAAATCTGACCTATTTTTCTTTGCTAGCCATGATCATACCCAAGTCTTGTTTGCTAAATATCCAGGTAGACCGAGGGGTAAATAAGACTGGCTTATAGTCATAAAGACTAAACTTAGGGGGGGTCATTGAGAATACTACATCAATACCAACAACATATCAAGAAGAGTGCATGTAAAACTTTATAGAGGCTGTTAATGATGTAGATGATTAATTTACAACTAATGAGATTGAGATGTTGTTAGTGGGGGTAGACTTGGACATTGAAGAGAACATTGAAGATGTTAGCAGCGACAATTTGGCCTCATCAGATGGAAGTGAATCATCTAGTGATTAATATTTATAAGATAAATGTGAATTAATTAGTAATTCTTTTACATGTTAGTATACACATACAATAATGTCTATATAGTAGTTTCATTTTTACATGTTAATATAAATATAGTAGTTCTTTTTTTTTTACTTCTATAGTAATTCATTTTTACATGTTAGTATACATACAATAATACCTTTTTTTCTTATATAATAATTCTTTTTTTACATGTTAGTACAGATACATTTGTTTTTTTATACTTGTATAGTAGTTCTTATATAGTAGTTCCTTTTTTAATTGTACAATAGTTTTTATTTTGTAGTTCATTTTTTACATATTAGTATAGATACAATAGTTCCTTTTTTACTTATATAATACTTTCTTTTTTACATTTTAGTATAAATATAGTAGTTCCTTTTTTGCATGCTAGCATATCAATAATTACTACTTATTTTTTGTATTTAATTTACTTATTTCTTACTTTTTTTTTAAAAAAATATAGATTATAGCTAATTGGTTCTTTTATTTTTTGTAGGTGTCTTCTAGAGGAGATGAGACCCATAAATAATCATTCTCAAATATTTTCAGGCGCAAGTCAAGAATTGGTGGATGATCTGATACTGAGGGGATGTCCACTTCAATGTATACCACTCACACCTAGCCTAGCCCAACTTTACCTATAACTCCTATAGTGAGTACATAGTTTTACACCCCAAACCCCCACTATCCATCACCATACCCTGCTCAGACCGCTCCCTTTTACTTGTTCTATCCCCCACCATGGATTCCCTGCAACTTATCCATATCCACCACATGTTCCACAATCATTTTACTACCCACCACCTCCTCATGCTATGCATTCAGACCTTCTACACCTACTACAGTTGGACCTTCCGCACATGCTGCTGTAACACTGACTATGGATGGGCACATGCTAACTTATCATGATGGTAAAACATATGTAAATGTGTGTGTGTGTGTGTGTGTGCGTGCGTGTGTTAAATATTTTGTGCATGTTTCATCCATTAAAGTAGCCCACGCAAAAGATCTGAGATATCACATGGAGCAGGTTTGATGCTTCATATGTCTCTTGGAAGAAAATCTAAAAGGAAGTGTGTGATATATGATTCAGGGAGTTTGAGGTTAGTTAGACATAATATTACTAATAGTTTCCCATTTTTTCTTAAGCTAATAAAGAATATTTCTTTCCTAATTTGTTGTAAGTAGTGATATTTATATTGGACACCTTAGCATGATACTCGTATCCGAACAAATTTTGAGAATTGCAGAGCAACTCACCTGCAAGATATGTTTACTCACATTAAAAGGACAGGCGAGCATCCACTTTGTATTGGTGAGGGTGTATGGGCTGAGCTCATGAATATTTGGGTCAGCCTAGACTATACAATGAAGATGGAGAAGAACATGCAGACTATAGCTTCTAACATTAGAGGCCGATGAAGCTCCCTACATACTAGAGGCTCAGTTCCGTCCACACATTGAGCATAAATGATGATTAATAATAACTTTAATAAATTTTAATAATTTCTTTGTATATACATTCTAATCTAAGTAAATTACATAAGGAGATGCTTGATAGAGAGCCCACTGCAGTTGAGTTACATAATCACACCCATAGGTGTGAACATGGCTAACTTTGGGTAGATGAGTGAGCCAGGAGAGCATATGTAAGTAGATAAGAATATTGTACTTACAAAAAGTATTGTAAGCAATGATCATATGATGATTAATCTTATATAATATTTTGTTTGTAGGATGAGTATACACGACTTCGAGAGAGACAAACAACAGCTAGAGAGGGATTATTTCCTAGTTATGCAAATATTTCTAACTACTGCACTTAGACACGATCAGTAGGCAAAATGTAGAATAGGTGAATTTATGGATTAGGCTCGCAAGCCTCCACATATGAGGGACAATCCTATTCTTCCACTAGCCACTTAGTAGGCAGCTCGAAGAGTTTAGTTAGCTAGCAGGTGGCTAACTTAGCAGCAGAGTTAGAAAATGACCAAAAAACTCAAGCAAACATGAATACTCAAATATTGGAAGATCTTAGAAGATAGAGCGAGCGGATTAGCAATTCTCAATTGGCGCCTCCATCGTCCGAGCTGGATAGCGTGCATACATATTCCGTTTAGATTGTCGCATGAGATTGCTTTTGATATATTTGATATCATTTGATGTATCAGTTACGTTGAAATTGTAACAATTTTATAAATTTTATTGAATTTTATTGAATATGGTTGTTTGTTCATTAATTTACGTAATTTGCATAGTATTCTTTAATTATATTTGTTTTGCATAATAATTTTTTTTATAACTGCTTGGATTGTGAATGTTGGAATGCTGAAATAATAATTGTTGGAGCTGTCTTTTTTGTTATGCTATAGGTTTACAGTAGAAAATCTACAACAAATGTTGATACGATGTTCTTGATCAACGTTTATAACAGACCCATCCGTCGCAAATTGCGTCGGATTATTCATCGCAATTTATGATGAAATATGTGGCGGACCACAAAAAACGAAACCGTTGTTTCATTTGGAATTATTCTGTCACAAATCTAATGCAAAAAGTTAACGACGGATTTTGTCCATCGCAAATATGTTTGCGATACCCGTTTTACCATCAGAACCATATCCGTCACAAATCTGTTGCAGAATAAGATTTGTGGTGAGTGTCTCGGCCTTTGCGGCTAATTTTACCACCATAAGTAACTAGATTTCTTGTAGTGGTCCTTTCTGACATTCATTAGTTACTGACTACAGCCCTTTTAACATCTATTACATGCCGACTACAGCCCCTCTGACCACCGTCATTCGATTGCAATATTACCAATCGAATAAACATGCCAAAACTCTTTTGAGAATAACTTTCTTGTCATTCTCCAGCTATGTAATGCACACTATACAATATTTATTTGTTACATTAAAACAACGTCCTCTTTCGAGGAATGACATAATTTATAATCAACCACCAACAATAGTGGAATCATTTCAACTCATCAATGCGCCATGGTTTTTCTCTTTTTTAGGGGTTTTCAAGTAAAAATTCTAATGTCCCTTATGAATATTGCACTCCTCTCTCTTATATGCATGTGTGCTAGATCTTCAAACAAACTAGGATACTAATTTCTTTGTCTCTCTACCATCACAGATTTTCCAAGATGCAACTCTACAAATGATAAATCCATTGTGAGCAAGATATTCTAACTCATGTATAAGAAAAATTGAATATTAATAGCAGGATTAGTAGCCTTCAATGTCTAAAACATAATATAAGCCACATGAATAGTATCCCTTAACAAAGAAATATATGTTTATCCTTTGATAAGTAAAAGTTGCTTTCCTCAATGAATGATATTCTAACCTAAGTTTTTTATGATTAAAGTTGAGTAATACTTTGTTTAGAATGTGATATTGGACCCAACTTATTTACTCACCGGGTAAGCAATCTTAACTCAAACTTAACTCGACCATATTCAAACCCTTTTTGACAAGACAAAAAATATTTATGAGTTATGCTAGATGAGTGTAATATGGCTAGAAGCATTAATTATCCAAATTATATACAAACTCTCAAGAGTATGAAAAAAATCATTTCATATAAGTTTTTTCATTTAAAATAGTCACATAATACCAATGTTTTGAATACTATATGAGTTTAATATGTCTTGTTGTAGGTTGTGTACTTTTAAACTATATAAAGACAACTATCTTAAACTCTCCTATGATATAAAGTTGCATGAAGTCATGAATACTATATGAGTTAGGATGAGAATTTGGGTTGGGTTGGGCTACAAATTTGAGCTGATTGGATTCCAAAAATTTTCAATACGTATAATGAATTCTTTATAAAGTGTATTAAAGAGTAATAATATAATTTTTTTAGTATTATAAATTTATATATTATATTAAGTATTATTTTTAATTTCATATTATAAATTTTATTTATAATTATACATTTATATTATATATATATTTAAAATTTGATAAATATATTTAATGCTCATATATTTATATTCATAATATACATATACTTATATTCATATTCATGACTAATCAAGCTTCTTATCATATTTTATATATTTTTAATTGAACTTGTTCATTAGTCTTTATTGAAATAATTATATATTCACTTTTACAAAATTATTTATTATATAATTTTATTATAATTAAATAGTTTTAATATTTATTGCTATCAGGTTCAACTCATGTCAAATCCTTGAACTTTAAACTTCTTATTCTTTTGGTTCTATCTTCTGCCTAATTTTCACAACGTAAAAAAATTTCAGCTGGGTCGGAATCCGACCAAAAAAATTATTTCCAGCTGCTTGAGCTGATACGATCCGATTTGACCCGAATCAGAAAACCCCGACTATTCAACACGTTTTGCGCATCCTGAATCAGCTCTCACCTAGGCCAAATCTGCCCATGTGGCTGGACTCCTCGAATCCGCACCCAGTTCTAGGCAGCGGCATCCCAAGGTCATCGACCCTCACTTCCATCTCTCCCTAGCTTTCCTTCTTCTCGTCGACGCTGCTTGGAGACTTGCGTGACTTTTGCAAGTCAAGCGGGAGAGTTGGATTTGTGATGTTTGTCAAGCACCTGTTGGAGAAAGCCATGGGGCAGGTAAAATTTGGATAAATATTTTCTTATTGATCTGTCGCATGGATCGCCTTCTCCATGTTCCATATTAGAACGATCTTGTTGTTTTCTTGATTCCTCCGTTGTGTTATCTTTTCACTTTCTGTTTTACTTTTTGATTGAATTTTTCCGCGGTGATGCGGCAATGCTGCCTTGTTTCGAATGTCATGACTGAATTTTGAAGATTCACGCTCTTGTTGGCGTCGGAATTTGATATTATGACTAGGTTTAAAGTTTGCTATTAGACTCAATTTCTGACTTAGAACTGATCAAAGACGGCTACATTTTAGAGTATACGCTATCTTTGTAGTTTGCTGAAGAATATGATGAGGAATAGATCGTATGACATGTCATGTGATTTACATGAATGCCTATGTGAATCGAGCTTAATCCTTTGGCAGAGGAGCAAAGGGATTTTCACAAACATAGCTTAACATGGTGCCTTATGACTAAACCATATCGAAATTTCTGCATGGAAATGTGCATTTCACTTCAAATAAGTTCATGTTAGCCATATTTTTATGGTATTTAGATATTAGGGTGCTATATAAGTAAAAATAAAAAATTGGGTGTTTGATTTGTTAATACTTAAACATTTTGTGATATGTATGTGAATCCCTCTTTGAAACGACAAATTATTGGGTCAGGTGACCGGACGCGGAGATAGGTCCGGATATTAATAAAATATTATTTTAAATTAAGCGCAGGTAAAGCGCAAGTAAAGCGCATGTAAAGCGCAAGTAAAACGCAACTAAAGCGCAAGTCAAAAAGCGCAAGTAAAGCGCAGGTAAAGCGCAACTAAAGCGCAAGTCAAAAGCGCAGGTGATGCGGCAAATTTTTATTGGATGTCCGAACTTATTTTTCGCCTCCGGTCACCTGACCCAATAATTTGCCCTTTGAAACAGTGTTTTGCCTCATGATGCGAGGAAAACTATCAATCTTTAGGCCGGCTTAGATTCATTTGTCTTTCAACACATGCATTTAATTGGCTTAGATAACATGCTTTTATGTTAAGAAATGCGCAGATTACCTTATCTCATCTAATCAATGGGCACGTTAGTCATTTTCAAATCGTTTATTTTGTTAAAAAATGAGATTTTGTCAGTGTCAATTATTCAATTTTTGGCTCCTTTTTTTTAAACATGATATGGTATTTTCTTATTTGTTTTTTTTGGGAGGTCATTTTTGACAATCTAATTTATAGCTTATCTTTCGGACGTGTAACAATGTTTTGTAGGTTATATTATTGATATTTACTTCATGTTATTTTTCAACAGAATTCACAACATGGAAATATTACATCAAGCAGCCATGATTTTCAAGTTGCTATGCATTATGGTATCCCTTATACTGCATCTATTCTTGCTTTTGATGCTGTTCAGCGACTCCTAGCAATTGGAACATTGTAAGTCAGAAGAAGATTTGATCTTTTCATTTGAAAAAAGAAATTAATCACTTGCTTAGAATATTTAGTACAGTTCCAAAAAACTCTCCACATCGTACAGAGAAGCCAATTAATAAATAAATGAAAGAATGGGTAGAAAAATTGAATCTCTTACATTTGTCCTATATCTTTGGAGTTGATTTGGATTAATGTCATCTTGTTTTATTTGATCAATGGCCGATGCAATCTATACAAGCCACCACCAAATTTGATCCTGGTAATTGGAGATGTTAAAACCCCACAAATGAGAGCATGACCTGCATCAAAATGATGATTTAGTATGACCAGCTTAATATGTTTACTAGATAGGCTTTCTTGAGTGCATGTGGCCTGAATCAACTTAGAATTACTTTGGTTAAACAGTCGAAGATGACCAACCTAGCAACCTAATTTGCTTTCTTAATTATTAAACTGGAATTCTTCTAAATCCTTAACAGATATGGTAACAATTATTTTTGTGTTTTCCTCTGCTATGCCTCTTTTCTCAGTTTTTTAAGCTTTTTCTTGTAATAGTTTTAAGTGGACTTACTTTTTATCTCTTCAATTTAGGCAGGTCAAGAGTATCTCAGGCACAGTGTCAGTCAAGCTGGGACATTAATGAAGTTAATTAGGTTGGAAATTTAATTTGATCATGTTCTGAACTAGTCATTGGTGACTGGTCTTGTTGAGTCAAACTAGGAACTGACATCTCCACCTATCATAAATTGCCAATCGCGTAGCATTGCATCATCTAGGTTAACAAGCGCTAAATGTTCTTTTTTATTGTAGTTTTTCCGGTTAAGTTTGTTTAAATGCTCTTTGATACTTCTCCCACCAAGAACCACTTTAGATTATGGGTTTTAAGTAATAGAATATTATTAAGCTTTCACGTATAGATTAAGTTGTTGGCAAACTACAAGATGCCTTACATTGGAACTTAACAGATCTTAATAATTTTATTTCAGCTTCACCATGAAAGTTTCTGTGTATTTTCAATCTTAGCAGTCTGAATACTACTTAAAATTGGCCTTAGGGCTATGCTTGGTCATCCCATATACTCCTTCCATTCAGTTGATGGTACACACCTTTTCTTCAGTTTCTCATAGCTGGCTTCAAGGGGTATTGCAGCATGGTGATTTATCATGGCTTAATCTACAACCATGCTTAATATTTTTAAAGGGTTTTAGTTGGATTCTTTGATAAGAAGTTGCTTAAGGTCTCGTACATACAATTCCAATCATATTTCACGCTTATGACTAGAGCACAATTAATGAGATTCCAATTTGATGGCAATCAATCTAGCTATCATTCAAATGCCTATTTGAGAGGTTTCCATCATGCTTGAACGTTTGTGAAGTTAGCCTGCCTTACTTGATCGTTGTTTGGCAATTTACAAATATCTTGACCCTCAATCCTTCATAACCTCTTTCTTGCTATTTACATCAGATCACATAATTCACAGTTCTGAACGATCACATGCAGATAAAGAAAAAGAACAAAATAAACATTTTAACTATCTAGATTTTTTCACCCTTCGACAGATCAATTCTATCCTTCGTTAGATCAATTTTATGGCCCTGTTACGATCAATTCCTTCAAAATCATTGCTCTAGTGCCAAAAATTAATTTTCACAACCCAACCTGACATAACCCGTATTGAGCAGGTCACATCGTGTCGGATTGTAATAGTTATGATTCCCAAGACCTATTTGGAAATAATTTTTTTTTCATTTAATAACAGAATATAGAGCTATTATAATATTAATTTAACAATGCAGAAAATAACTTAGAACCTTTTGCATTTATCTTCCAAAATTTTGCAGACAAAATGTTCATATAAATACAATGATTATGATATAATGTTTCAATACTTCATCATTAAATACTCAATGACGGCCAAAAGAATATACTATACAGTAGCATACTTACTCATAAGACAACAATCTCACTCTACTCAACCTACCCCTTGTCCTTTACTGGCTTAAAACACATGCAAAAAAAAAAAAGGGGTATGAGTAACCACAATTCTTTAGGCTATATTGAACATATTTAAATAAATTCTTAATAATAAACAAAACATAATTATAAACAGGTATTCTATTGTTTAAAAATTAAAGAGAAGATTATTAGTGCAATACTTCTAATGGAGTAATAAAAGTTTAGAATAATGTCAGCTTAACAATTCTTTTAAATAACAGAAGCACACATTTACTAATAGAAGAATTAAACATTTCATACAGATTCAATTCATATCACGTCAGACCAGATTAGTCACTCAGGCTCTTATGCCTCTTAAAATTTTTAGCTAATAGGCCCTTATGAGTCCCTGTGCAAAACACCTAAAAAATAGACCCTTATAGCTCCTACTGCTTGATATATCAGTATCTGGCTCTTATGACTACCAGATTATAGTACTAATTCCTCATTTAGAATTTAGGTCTTTATTCCTCCCAGTATTATGCAAAAGCATTAGTAACCGCTGTTGACATTTTCTTCATGTAGATTCAGGCTTTGTTTGGGACATCTTTTCAATTGCTTTTAAAGCAAATTTTAGAGCAAAAATTTCTAGTTTTAAATTTTTTTGTACTAAAAAGATGTTTTAGAAAGCAATAAGAAACCTTCCCCCAAATGAGGTCTCAATCTTTAATTTCAAAAGCATCACACATTCAATAGATATAAGCAGAGTCAAACGAATCAAAGAATTTCACAATTTTAACAGAGCAGTCATAATTTCGGGGTAATTTTACACACTGACATTTCTATAATTGCCAATCACAAAACTTTTCACAGATGAGTTTCATAACAATATTTCACGGCTTTTATTCTTCTATGACCAATTTTATCATAACCCGACACCCATCTAAAATACTCAAATTCCCTTAATTAGAATTACCTGATGAAAATTTAGAAAAATATGTCGATATGTATGTAATATTGAGAGCAATATTATACCAAAATTACAAGAAGAAAATTTTCTAGATATTAGAATATTTTCAGTTTTGTGCTATTAAAAACTAAAAAATCTTGTAAAATTTCGTATTATTAAAAATAGAGATAGGGTAAATACAACCTACCTTGATTTGAACAATTTTTTTAACTATCTTGCCGGAAGAAAATAGCTCGAAGACCCTCAAAAGAGACTTTCTCTCTCTAAAAACCCTTTTCCTCTCTCTTTAAATGGTAATGCAACAATGGAGTATAACAGAGAAATAAAAATTTTAATGGATTTTGATATCTATAAAATTTCTGGTTACAATGCTGCGGTGCCCGAAGGGTTAGCATCGCAGTGCTCCCAAGGATTTCATTTTTAGTTAAGAACATAGAAAGCTCGGTGCTGCAATGCCTATAAACCAATGCCCCAAATATGGCATCATAACGCTCAGATCTGAGCACCGCAACACTCCTAGAGAACATATTTTCTGATGTAGGTAAAAGTTCAAATTTTTACTCTTAATGGGAAATTAATGATGGGCTGAATTTTTTCTTTTGGGCTTGGCCCCTTTACCCTTGGCTGTTTGGTGTTTGGAGTTCCCAGGCTATTTCCTGGGCTAACCGAGCCTTTTCTTGGTGTTTGTTGGATTTCCTGGGTGTTTCCTGGGTTAACTGTGCTTTTCCTTGGGGTCTGTTGGGTTTCCTGGCTGTTAGGTTCTTGGGGCTGGCCGTTCGGCTGTTGGGCTGCTTGGTTCCTGGGCTGGCCGTGCCTTGTTCTTTGTGTTTTTTTCCCCTGTTTTGATTGGATAAAAGGGTGGCTGTTTGGTTTCCATTTTTCCCTATTTAAAGGGCTGTTTGCTGAATAAAGAGAGTTATGTGATGATTTTTGGAATGAAACCTTTGGGTTTTCAATAGCCTGTGAGCTATCCTTTTCTACCTCCCTATCTTCTTAAATTTTGTAACGGACTTCTATCTTCTTTCTTCTCTCTATGGTAACTTTTCCATTATATCTTTCTTCTCAAAAAGTTGTATGGTGTCTTTGAGTCGTATTTATAGGTTGTCGTTGCGTCGTGTTAAAATTGTTTGTTGTTGTTGTTCCTTTTATTTTAAATTGTAAGGTTTTGTTTATCTATGTTGTAAGAAAGGAAGGATTGTGTCTTTGCGCTATTTATTTGTCGCATCAATTTGGTATTAGAGCATTATGTTGTTGGGAGTCTTACTTTCTTTTAAATAAAAAAATAAAACAAAAATGGATAGTCAAAACAATCAACAAGAGGAAAGCCATAAAAATTATGAGAAAGATAAATATGAAAAAGAAAGTCATCCAATTATGCATTGGATTCCAGAGGACTGATTTCCAACAACAAAATGGGTTCCACCTCATGCCTGTTCTTCTAATCCTCTGCAAATCAAACTTCTCAAAATTCGAAGACATCTATATTTATGTATAGAAAGATATGAGGCTAAGAAGCTTCAACTCCTATCCAAATTTGAACGAGAAAAGGAGATCATCAAAAGAAGGCATGACATGCTAATTCAGGAATCGGAAATGCCAGATCTTCATAATTTTGAATCGAGCTCATCAGGATATGAGATTTCTCCAACGAGGGAGAATTGATGTAGGCAAAAGTTCAAATTTTTACTCTTAATGGGCAATTAATGGTGGGATGAATTTCATCTTTTGGGCTTGGCCCATTTACCCTTGGCTATTTGGTGTTTGGAGTTCCCAGGCTGTTTCTTGGGTTGACTGAGCCTTTACTTGGTGTCTGTTGGGTTTCCTGGCTGTTCGGTTCTTGTGGCTAGCTGTTCGGCTATTTGGTTGCTCCGTTCCTGGGCTAGCGGTGCCTTGTTCTTTAGGTTTTCTTCCTTGTTTTGATTGGGTAAAAGGGTGGCCGTTTGGTTTCCATTTTTTCCTATTTAAAGGGCTGTTTGCTGCTAAAAAAAGAGAGTTATGTGGTGATTTTTGGAATGAAACATTTGGGTTTTCAATAGCTTGCGAGCTATCCTTTTTGGCCTCCCTATCTTCTTAAACTTCGTCTCGAACTTCTATC